GCGGGTCCTGCGCTTGTCCCGCGCCGAGCGCCCCGTCGCCTCCAGGGCTTATTCCCAGAAAGAGACTTCAAGGTGCGCCACGGAGCCTTTGCAGACGGGGCCGTCTTTGACCTGAAGCGCGTCCCGGACTCCAGGTGAGGCGCGGGAGACCCAGCCCGGCCTTTCAGCGCGCAGCGCGCAGCGCGCAGGTCGAGGCCCCGCCCCCCCCACGCACCCTCACTCCCCGCACTCACTCGGCCTGCCCCCTGGCCTGCCCCCTGGCCCTCGGGCCCCAGGGGCAGGGGGAGCTACCCGCTCAGCGGGCGGCTGGCTGGCAGCCTCCACCTTGGCATCTTCCAGGGGACTGCGAAGCCACGTGGAGGCCCGGGCTGCGGAACTGTGGGCGCCCGGAGGGGTGCGCCCCATCTGTCAGCCCGGGTGGCTGGTCTCCACGAACCTTCCGAGATGGCGTGTGGGCGTCTCCAGCTGAATGGCCGAGCGTGGACGGTGGACTGGCGTGCACAGGTGAGCTCCCCAGACTGGGCTGAGACATCCTGCTCCTTCTCCGTAGGTTGCTGGTGACCAGTGGCCTTCCGGGTCCTCGCCTGCAGGTGTGGCAGCTCTCCGAGGACAGCGGTGAGTGAGCCTGTTGCAGCTGCCGGCTGCGTCCTTTGCTTTGATTTCGGCCTTTCTCTTTTCCGGCTGGGTCTGGGCTGGGCTGGTCAGTGTGGGTTCTGGAGACCTGGGAGCAGGGGGCTGCACTCCCCCGAGGGCTGGAGCCTGCACATCCCGCCCCCTTCGGAATCGCGGCCCCCCGCAGACTGCGGGGCCCTTTGCCTCTGAGAGCCAGTCCTGGGGGTCCTCGCTGCTGGTGGGCTGGGGAGGGAGGAGGGAGCTTGTCAGGACGGCCCCGAGACCGCTGGCCCAGGGGCTGGTGCTCCATGGCCCTGCGACGCTCCCGGGAGACGCAGGGCGAGTCGCAAGGCGGCGGCTGCCCCGCCCCACAGCCCCCGCGAGAGGAGCACTCGGCCCCCACTTCCGGAGCCCCTCTAGGAGCAGCAGCAGGGGGGCAGAGCCACCAGCCCCACCGGCCGGGTGTGCTCCAGCCTGAGGCCAGGGCGTCTCCGCTGGTGCAGAGGGCTTGGCCTGCCCCCGGCCTGCACCAGGAGGGCCGGCGGGCCGTGAGCTGTGAGTGACGCCATCGGCATGTCCTTTCTCTTCCTTTATTCAATTTCCACACAACTAGAAAAAGCCAGAACCTGCTTTCGGAGCGGCCTCCCGTTGGAAGCCCGTCGGGCACATTCAAAGGGAAACGGGCGCCTCTGCCGTCCAGGGTGTCGGCGTCGCCCTGCCCTGCCGCCAGGCCCCGTCACGTACCTCTTTCCCCAGATGCCATCGCAGCCACCGGCACCATCGCGGTGCCCGAGGAGGAGGGGCGCCTCTGGCCCAGACTGGCCGTCTTCGCCGCGGCGGCCCCCGCCGTCCTCCACGGGGCGAGGCTGGCCGGGCTGCGGCTCGTGGACCTGGAGTCCCAGAAGACCAAGTTCGCCTCAGGTGAGGCCCGTCCTGTCGTAGCTCAGCCCTGTAGCCGCGTCCTCCCTCCCGGCAAGCGCAGCCCTGTCTCAGGGCTCCGGGAGGTGGGCAGCTTCCCAGGGCTGACTGGACGGCCACCCGGCCAAGGGGCCAGGCCGTCTGAGCAGCCTCTGCTCTGCCCCGTGTCTTCAGGTGTGGGGGACAGCGAGGCGCTGAGCAGCCTGCAGGTCGTGGACGCGGACACCTTCGCCTTCTGCTGCGCCTCCGGCCGCCTGGGGCTCGTCGACATCCGCCAGCCGTGGGCGCCCTTGGAGTACCGCCACCCTGGAGCTGGCACGGGGGCCAGCGGGGGGCAGTGGTGTGCCGAGGTCGGGGGCCAGGGCGCTGGGCCGCATGTTGCCAGCCTTGGCTCAGATGGGCAGCTCCGCCTCCTTGACGCCCGGGACCTGCGCCGCCCTGTGAGCACAGCCCAGTGCCAGGTGCCCGTGCCCAGCCCCGAGCCAGAGCTGCTGCGTGTGACGTGGGCTCCAGCCTTGGACAGCTGCGTGGCCATCTCAGGTATCGCCGAGCGGGCCCTCAGGCCGGTCTTTCCGTCTCTTCCAGGTGACTGTCGAGGCTAACCGGGAGGCGGTAGCCCCATCATCCTTCCGCGCCCCCCAAAGTTGCCCAGAGCAGCCCCAGACGCGCTTTCAGGGTCCTTTGCTGGGTCCTTCCTGCTCTGGCCCCAAACTCCCCACGTGGAGCAGATTTTGCTGTCCCGGGAGCCGGGTCAGCAGGCGCCGGGCCAGGGCCCAGAGGGCCCTCGGGCACTGCGCCGTGGCGAATCCCAGCCGGCCGGGCAGTGTCTGGCTGGAAGAGACTGTGCAGGCGCGGGAGGCTCCCCGAGAGGGGAGAGTAAAGCCCAGCGGAGCAGCCACATGGCTGCTGGGCCTGGGAGGTCTGGGGGGCGGGGCGGAGCCAGGCCTGCGGGAGGGGTGGGAGCCCGCAGGGCCCTTCTCCAACGCCCCCGTTTCCTGTCGAGGATGGCAGGGCCCTGCGGGGGTGCCCAGGGGTGGGGGTGGGGGTGGGGGAGAGGGCCGGAGCATCGCCGACCCCTGCTCGTGCCCGGCGGCAGAGGGGTCTGGCCTGTCTGGGGTTGATGTCGGACCCCACCCACGCCTCGTCGTCGTCAGCTTCTTGCGTGACATGCTCTCAGGACAGACGTCACGGCCGCTGTCCTCGGGGTCTCCTGTGCCCACTGGTGTTCAGCCCGTCGCCTGTTTGGGTGCCGCAGACTCAGCGTTGTCCTTTCTGGCTCTTCTCAGGCTTTGACGCGACCGTGCAGGTCTACGACGTCACATCTTGGGGAGAAACACAGAGCCCAGTGGAACCTCTCTTCACTCACAGAGGGCACATCTTCCTGGATGGCCACGGGGTGGACGCTGCTCCGCTGGTCACCACCCACACTTGGCACCCCCAGAAACCGAGGACTCTGCTCTCGGCTGCGAGTGACGCCTCGCTGCACGTGTGGGACTGGGTGGGGCCGAGCACCGCCCGCTGACGCGGGCCAGAGGAGCCCTGCTGCCGCCAACTCCAGAGGCTGCGCAGGCCCCGCGGGAGCACGGGCCCTGGTGAGGGCTCTGAGGCTGTGGGCCAGGCCTAGCCGGGCATGGGGTGGCCCAGGGACAGGCCTCGTCCACCTGCTGCAGACGGCTGGGAGTGGGCAGGCGGGCACACGGCCAGCGTCACTGGCACAGTGGCACTGCGCAGCACAGCACAGAGACCGCTTGCAGGGGGAGCTGTGGCTTCAAGCAGCGGCCTCACTGCCCGGAGCCCCTCTCCTGTCCCACCAGCCCCCTCAGGGGGCATCTAGAAAACTCCACCCACCGTGGCGGCGATCCGGGTGGAGTCTGGACAGCAGCAGCCTCCAGCTCGGAGTCGGGGCGCGCGGGAGCGCCCTCCGCCCAACAGGTTCCCGCGCCCAGTCACTGGTGACCCCGCGGTGAGGGCAGTCAGTTCCCTGGGTGCCAGGGCCTCGGGGCCTCTCGGGACTGCGGCGTTCGCACAGGGCACAGCACTGGCAGGTGCCGCCCGCCAGAGAAGCTGCTCTCCGCTGCGTCAGAGCGACCACACCGGTGCTTGTCTCTGCCTTCACCCAGGACTTTGTACTGGCACGGCGGAGTACCTCGGTCACCTGAGTCCACCGCCAGCGTGTTGATGTGTGTTTGCCCCACTCACGAGAATGAAGCGGAATTGCCGTTGGCTCTGCTGAGACTTGCTGTGGGGGGCCCTGAAAGTGAATTCCCAACGTCGGCCGTGGGGCGTGCAGAACTTGGGGGCCACATCACAGGACGGTCCCGCCAGACAGCTGCGACATTTAGACCCCCCAAAGCTTTTCTCTCTGGGTTCTCCAGGCCTGCGCAGAGGTTAAGCTGCTCTGCTCTCCTGAGGGGTCCCTGGAACCCTGCAGGCTAGGTGGCAAGCTCTTTGCTCGCTGGCAGCTTCAGAAGGTGACCTAGGCCAGGTCTGGGTAGCAGGACATTTCCAATTCACGATTTAAAAAAAAAGATGTATGTATACGGAACTGGGGTACAGGCTAGAGATGCAGGGGTGGTGAGAGGACTCCCCAGAGGCAGATTGGGGAGAAGAGGCAGTTGGGCAAAGTCCACTGCTGAGGGGGGCAGCGGGCGGTCAGGAGGGGTCTGTTGTGCCCTGGGGGGGCTGCAGTGGTGTTGGGCTTTAACCCCTTGTGGCTGAGGGTGAGCCTGACTGCTGCTGGTTGCCATTTTGCTACTAAATGCAGTTTAAAGCTGCACTTACTAGAGAGGTGTGTGTGGTCCCTAGGGCGAAGGTGCGGCCCCAGCACCACCGGGCCGGCGGGGGCTGCTCTCCTGTGCTGTGGAGCCGGCGGGGCCTCAGGTCCGGTCACTGCGTGGAGGGAAACTGCCTGTCCCCCCCCCTCCGCCCCCGCGGCGCCTCGCACCGGGGAGCCTGGGTTTGCTGCCCCACCGCCTGGGCCACGGTTGAGCCTTGGGGCCTCCCCCTTGGCGAGGCCGCTCGCAGGCGGGGAGTTCCGAGCCGGGCACCGGGGGGCGCCAGAGGGCAGCGAGCGCCCGCCCCGCGGGTCTGCGTTCTGGCCGGGCGGCACGGGATGGCCGCGCCACAAGGTGGGCGGTGGGGCCAGGGGCTGCGGCCATCCGCCCTCGTTTTGGAATAACGACGGCGGGGCAGCCCCTCGGGGCCGGCTGCGGGCTCCCCAGTCCCGGCGACGCCACTGTCCCCACAGGCCCGCTCGCCGGGTGCAGCCAGGGCCGGGGACGCCGGGAGGCCAAGGCTGCTCAGGCTCCGACTCCCCCAGCGTCGGGGCCATGAGGCTCGGAGAGACCCGGTGGCCCAGGCCCCCACAGCCGCCGGGAGGCAGGAGGGGCGCCGAGGCCCGGCCCTGGGGCAAGCCGACCCCGGGCGGCGCGACCGGCTAAAGGGCCGCTGGGGCGCGCGGGCAGTGCCGACCCGGAGCGGGACGAACGGATACCACGTCCGCGGAAAGCCCCGGAAGCGGAAACGCAAGTCTGGTGGTCCCGCCCCCCACGTCCTCAGACTGACAGGTGTACCGGCCAGTAAGGCGTGGTGAGGGCGGGGCTTCACCGGGAGGGGAGGGGCGGCGACCCCACACAGCGGTTCCCTAAGGGGTCGCGTCCTGCTCCCCGCGCCCTGCGCCCGAGGGCGCGAGCTAGAGCGTGACGCCGGAAGCTCGGCCAGCTCGCTCTGAGGGGAGCCGCCAGTCCTCCCCGGCTCGGCCCGGACGCGCGCTTTACCACCCGGCGAGGGCTTTGGAGCCGAGGTGAGAGCGGCGGG